TAGTTGTACCATAAGAATATATAGATAATATTAGTCCATCAATAGGTCTCAGAAGCTACTCGCAATTTAATTTTTGCTAGGATATAACACTGTGGACAACATTAATGCAACTTCTTGTGTGTCATGTATTTTTTTCTTTATGATCAAAGTACAGCAACGTCTCTACCGAAGCTAATCTTTTCTGTCCAGCTTAGGTCCAATGGGTTTTACTTGTTACGAGAACCTGCAGGTTGTTTCTCCTCGTTTCTTCAGCTATTTGATTGGTCCTCTCTGTCTCCCACATTATCCTGACATTCCATGTACCTATATTATTTGTTGCTCTGATTGTTAGAAGGGGTATCGTCATCGTGAAGAATCTTGGTTTTCGCCATAAAACATCGTAATTCTTCTACAGGAAGATCCGTCAACCTCCAGGACAGAGTTTAAATGGTATAAGTGATTTTTTCTGGATGGTGTTTTTTACGGATGAAGTTGCAGACCCCCCTACCAAACCTTCCTCCTTTATCCTAACTTGGGACTGGCATTTACTTTCGAAGGTCTACAGATGGAGTTAATGTAAGACATACTATAAACATATTACAGTGATTACTTGTTCCTGTTCTTCCGTGATATCTATTTTATTTTCATCATGAAATCACCAATTATTTTATCTCTGAAGAAATGACACTTCAGTCCTCCAACGAAAAGAATACTGGTCCTAATATCTTGCATCTTGTGGCTGTCAACAGTGGAAAAACCAAATATATCACTTTGTATAATATCATAACCACGATACACCATAATCAGATGATATCTCAATAAATTCTTTTTTCGCAAAAAAGCAACTACCACTAATTAAATCTTATCAGGCCTAGAGAGTAATAATAACCCCAAAGTAATGCTGTTCATAACAGTGTTGCGAGACAAAAAACAATTTCACTATCTAACAAACTATTTAATTCATTAAGGTTTATTCGGCATCTATCATTTTACAAAATGCAGGTAGCGCTGTAGTGATGTCGTTCACTTAATTACTTATTTTTTTCATACACTACTTATTAAAGAGAACTTTTCACTTAAAAGATTGATGAAAATCACGTTATACATTTCGAAAATAATGCTGTGCTCTGAATTTGTTGCACCTTAGATTGTGAATTTAACTTTGATTTTATGTTCTACAATATTAAAATGTTTGTGATAAATGTTCATTAAAAGTAATTTATGAATCATGTCCTTAAAAACAATGAAACCTTATATTTTCTAGATAATTCCTCTCCATTTATATTAACCTGATCATATCTGTAAATTGATGTGCATTTAACAATTATTTATAGAATCAGCTATCATCATCCTCAATATTGTAAAGCTACAAATGTAGCCTGATACAATCTATTTAAAATGATGAATTCAAAGGTTTAATACTTACATTTAAAGCTCAATTCGATTTATTGTTTATATAGTTTTGTCTTAATTATATAACTTGCAACTAGACGGTTTGGATTTCGCAGATGATCTAGCTCTTTTATCTTATACACAGTAACAAATGCAGGTGAAGAAGACCAGTGGGAAAGAAGCCTCTGTATCAGTAGGCCGCAACATACACAAGAGAAAAAGCAAGATCCTCAAATACAACACGGAGAACACCAACTCAATCATACTTGATGGAGAAGCTCTTGAAGGGGTGGAAGCTTCCAAGTATCTGGCTTTCATCATTGATGAACAAGGATGATCGGATACAGATGTTAAGGCATGAGGACAGCATTCATGCGAGAGAAGAACATATAGAACTCAAAACAACTATCAGCCAACGTAGAAGTCAGAATCTTCGATACAAACGCCAAGACAGTTCTACTGTACAGAGCTGAAAATTACAGAACTACAACAACCATCATCAAACATGTACAGGTATTGATAAACAGTTGTCTACGCAAGATACTCAATATCCATTGACCGCATACGATCAGCAACAGTCCACTGTGGTAGAGAACAAATCAGCTTCCAACTGAAGAGGAAATAGAACATACTTTGCAGAAATCATGAAACTTGTTCACGAGGTGATCCATAATATGGAATGCTGACTGGAAGAGGAAAGAAGGGAGACCGAGGAACACGTTGCATCGAGAATCGGAGGCAGCCATCAATAGAATGGATGGCAACTGGGAACAACTGGGAAGGACAGCCGATGACAGAGTATGTTGGAGGATCCTGATGGACGTCTTATGCTCCTCCACGAGGAGTAACAGGCATAAGCAGGTATTATATAAGTGTTAAGTAGCTACACTTGGCATTGTTTACTTGAATCTTCCCATTGATGTTTAGGACTGCAATTGATTAGGCGCATCCAGCTGACGAGTCCCAAATAGGACGGAACGCACGTCCTTGATTCCACTGTTAACCATTATCTATATTTGCTTGTTAAGTAACCAGATTATATACATCTATATTCCATTTATCATAAGCTTTTATTTGACCTATTGACTACTATTATACGATTTACTATTTTCCAGTTATTCGCAATGTATTAGTTACAGCCTGGTTTGCTTGTATACAAACTACGTATGTCTGGAATATACGATTCATACAGTGGATGCTGAGATATTGTTTTGGACTCTCACGGACAGGACTGGGCAGGAAGAACTAATAAGGGGTTACAGTCGACACCAGGCTGCTCTTACTGAACAACGCATCCTTGATTTGGTACAGTACCAAGGTCATATCAGTCGTGTTCTAATTGGCGAATTAGACACGTCATAATTAACAGGCCAGAAATCATAACAATTTTACCTCAATCCAATCATCACTGAAAATAAGAAACATTGAACAACTACCTGGTTTTATTCATGGATTTATTAACTTCAACCACTCATGGCGCTACCTCCAAAGTAAACTCCTACAACCGATAGTCTCGCTGCTTACAACCCCAAACCCATATAGAAAATAAAAGTTTCAAGGGCATTTCCATCTGAAAAATAATTCATTATTGATACACATTTGACAATTTGATTTCAATTTTTCATATCCTAAAAAATAAACAAAGTTCATTACAGTTGTAACCGGAGATCATTTGTAAATGAGATCGAGTATAGTTTGCTTTTTAGCTAAGGGAGTTGAGAATATGTAGATATTTTAATTGTATAATAAATTTCATTCTTTTTTCTTTTAAAAAAAAATACAAAGACCAAAATTGGGTAAATGAGTAAAACAATAATTTCCATTTTAAAAAACAAAACAAGACAAAATACCTAGTGCATTGAGACCGGGATTGAAAAACAATATTTCTAATATTTTTGCATAGAAGTACTAAATGATTTACCAAAAGAGCAATATCAAAATAAGTACAAAGGTAAAGAATACATAAATAAGGATTTGGAGCAGAAGTAACACTGTGTTACGTAATATTACCATAATTGAAAAATATTTTGACATTTTGTATGTTCAATTAGCTTGGATTGATATCTTATTCCATTTTGGTCTTTTAATAAAAATCTTTCTCTGTATATGGTTTAATGAAAGGTTTATCAAACGTTGTAGTTCATTCAAATAATTCTTTCCAATGAATGGTCATAAAGGTTTATTTGCAAAATATTGCAAGATATTGTGAATACAATTATGTATTTCAGGCGAAACTTAACATAGTAATATCCTAAAGTTAAATTATTTGAGATGTACATAAACTAAATTTAAGTCGAGGTTACTTACCGGTTTTGTTTGAATCATATTTCTAGCCTTTTGGAAGATGAATCTTGTCTACATTACTTTCTACAACTAAATAATAGACAGTAGATAACAAGAAGACAGGCTTAGTATCTGATGAATATCCGGTTTAATAAGTGATCATATAAGCATCTGATGTTGTCACTTAAAGCCTCAGGGGTCTGTTATTGCGTATCTGTCGTTATTAATGCTGAATATAATACTTTCTGGATCCCTTATGATATACTGGTTCCAATTATTCATTTAATAAAATTCTACTTTCCATAGATTGCTTATTCATAAAGGACTGAAATAATCTAGGGGACAAGTGAAGACCAGAGACACTTGACAGTACTTTTGTTCTTGTCTAGAACGTATTAACAGTGCTAACCAACAGACACGCTAGAGATCGGACCCAGAATTTTCTCAGTGATACAACCATAAGCAATGTAGAAACTAGAACATATGCATGGATCTGAGTTGCCACAGCATATCAGCACAACGAGATGCAGTTATCAAGAAAAGTATAAGCGCAGTGGAAGTATCGATATTATGAATGGTACTAGAAAGTATCAAGTGGGTTACCTCTAGGCAACTAAGTACAACTTCAATTTGTATAACCACGCCAATTTTCATCCGTAATAGCTTTTTCACTTTCGAAATTATTCGGTTTTGTTGACGGCATCATCGTGATTGAGAACAGATGAGGAGTCTCAAACTGCAACTGACAAGTAATTTAGTATCCCCTGGTTTTCAATACTTCACAAGTTGATATCATTCTCTAGCGATATAACCGAACGATATAATCACATTAAAGTAATCTCTATAACGTACTCAAATTTACAAAATCTGCTACCTCACAAACATTTCTATTCAAGAAAGTATGCTTATTGGTTTAAAGCCTAAACAAAATTTATTGATCTATGTTAAACAATCTGTTTGTAACCATGCTAGTGACAATTATTTTAAGCACTATATAAACGTGAAAATCATGTGATACTTTCAATGGACCAGGTGATTTTACTTTCATATGTATGTCTGTGTGCATAGATCATTCTATCAAAAGTGTGCTTTTACACTAAACTGTATAAAACATATTGATAGGCTTGATTTCACGTTTCGAAAAGTTATGTATATTGAATAATATTTTGTGTATTAGTGAATAAATAATAAAGATGTTTATTTTATATTTATTAAAGAAGCAATTATATTCGGAATTAAAACTTGAAGTATTGTCAATTTAAATTATTGTTGTATCATAAAACACTTCACTGTGTATCATTATCACATATATGTATGTGTCTTTCTGATGTATATAAACAAATACAATGGTAGAAATGAAAGGAAAATTTGTAAATTCAATGGGTCCATTTGATATTTGTCAAAAATTACATCAACAACAAAGGTTAGTTATTTATTTCTTTTTTTTTAAGAATTAATAAGATGATTTCCTTTTTTAGCCTACCAATAAAAGTTAAACAAATTTGAATTGGTGACTGAAAATATTTAAATATTTTTCATGTTGAGATTCGGTGCTTTCTCTTAGTTTTTAGACAAGGAATGGTGAGACTATAATTTATGGACAGTCTTTGAGCGGTGCTAAAATGACCTTGATCATTTCCTCCCACTAATTAGGACCGAATGCGGGTTATAAAATAGTTTGAAGAATAAGGATCATGATTTACATTTGATGGTTAGGGTTAGAAATTAGATTTAAGATTTTCATCACGAATTGGCATCAGCTAAAATGCCAATACGCTATTCGGCCAAATGGTTAAATGAATTTCGCACCAAAATTCAAGATCTGTTATCCTAAATCTGATTGGTTCGTCCGTAAATCATAGTCGCACCCAAATGACTTACTTAAAGTGAATTTTTTCTACAGTACACCATTTAGTACTAAAGAATAATAACAAAATTAATGACATGTATAAGGGAACTAGCTTACGGTGGATGTACCGAAGTCTTTATCCAAGAGAATATTACATGTATGTCTGATGTTGAAGATAGAATATTTTACTAAACAATCTTTAGATTTTTTTTCAATGTCATCTAGAATAAAATAAACCTGCAAATTCAAATATCTTAATACATTATGAGTTTAATTGGGTATTTATTCCAGTTTTTAACTTTTTGAGATGTGTATTTACTTTCGTTAAAAAATCTTTAAGGATCTCTTTTTATTCTACTGACTCTCAAATGAATACACTAGTTAATATAGACAAATAATATGTTCATTTTATCCATCAATATGCTCCTTTCAAGATTGATTAACACTATCGTTATCAAGAAGAGGTAATTTAACATTTCTATGTAAAGACGTTTGTCTAAAATTTGACACAACTACCAGTCAATCATGGTCGCAATATTTACAGATTTATCACTTGGTAAATTTTAACAGAATCATCTTCATTTACATTAAATTCAACTCAATGATGAGATGTCAATAAAATAAAGACAGTCTGCATTAGTATATAACTAAAATTACTCAGTGACTTATTGATTTTTGATCTCTTATATATTTCAATCTTCATGATGTGATGGTGGGTTTATGCATCGGTCTGTTTTGATTTTTAACTTAATTTTATATTGTTATTGTTTAGAACTGCAATTGATCGGTCTCTTATCGGCATGTGTGTATCCTGTGTGAACTGCGTCGATATTGCCTTAAGTCACAAGTTTTATAAGCAAAGATGAATGGTGTCTAGCAGTAGAATCCTGGACGCGTGTTTTATCCTACTTGGGACTCGTCAGCTGGATGTGCCTGCATTCCAGAGTTGAAGCGAACGGCACTGGGTTCGAATCCCAGAGTGAACATCAGCTCTGAGATGCAGGTAGATCCAGATGACGAGTTTAGACTAGTACAAAACGTGCTTTCGAGATTCTACTGCTAGCCGTCATCCATCTTTGTTTATAAAGATTAATATAATGTTTAAAATACAAAATTTTATTTACATCAGTGACACTCTATGATATTATGTTTATCGAGTAAAAGCATTCGTGTTTGTAAATGAACTCTATCACATTGAAAACTTAAATTCTGGAAAATCTTCTTATTCTAAGGTGAACTATACTCAAATAATACATTTTGTCTGCAAATTAATTTTCACTTTGTTAATTTCTTAAATAATTTCATAAAATGGAAACTGATTTCACCTTAATGTGCCAATCAATATCTGATTTTATTTCAATATCATTGAATGTGATATGAATAACATTGAGATGAGAAATAAGAATTTATCACTGAGTATACGCATGTCATTCAAGTATGTATATGTATAAACATAGAAATGGCATGTTTCTCGTACTGATATTATGTCTTAGTATATCTCAATATCTTTCAAACAATTCGCTATAATAAAATGTTATTAATATGATTATATGTACAATTATTCTTTGTTTTACTATTTTAGAACTAAACAAAATGATTGTGGTTTTTTATTAGAATGTGAATCACATAGTCAAATAGTGCATAAATGTGTATTACGTGCGGTCTCAACAAAAATCGATCAATTCTGTATGGCAGAAGAAGAAAATGTAGAATGTTCAACTGATAATATTAATATAAATTGTTATGATAACATTAATAATAATAATAATAATAATAATAATCACGTTTGTAACACAGTAAAACAATCAAAGAATTCATTTTATTTAGGTCGTATATCTGCGAAAACATTGGATACTTTTGTAAAATATATTTATCAATCAGGTTTGTCTGTTGTTTTTTTTTCTTCTTTCAAAAATGGTTATTGATAATATTGATTATTGATTATTGTGAACAACATAAGCACTGCCAATTAATAAAATGGGTTGAAAATATTCTTCTGTATAGGCAGAATGTGACTGAGTTTTTCTTCTTTTTTTATTGTAAGGACTATGATGATGTAATAAGTTAATGTATTCAAGAAACAATTTTAAGTTATTAGATTGTCTTTAATAGCTTAGAAGATGTGTTTTATAATGAGATTGTTATGCATGTGATATTTTCAAGGATTTACTAAGTTTCTGAGTGATAGAAGTATCGATTCAAATGAATGATCAATATGATGATCCTATTCACTTGACAATAAAATTCAGTACATTTGAGTTTAGTTAAAAGAAATCCAAGATTCTACTGGTTGATTTTTTTTATTCACAGTGAAAATAATTTGAATGTAGTTGTGGGATAAGTTCCTCTTCAATGTATTTCATTGTATTAATGTCTGTAAATTCACAAGGTAACTTCATTACTTTTTAGGTTATGATTTTAGATATAATTCCGAAATGCTCTGTAGCTATAACAACAATTAAAATAACTGTCTACCATTCTATTTTTAGCAATCGCAATTTGACATCAGTTCTCTGAAGAATGTAAATATGTTTTACTGATTATTACTAAATAGTATTAACCATGAATACATAGATTTCTATTGACTACGTAGTATCAAATAAAGTAAAGAGTAACATAATTTCATTTACTCTAGTGGATACATTGCAACATAATGTCGATAGAATTTCATCAGCTCTCAGGACAAGACAAACTCCAGTTATTATTAAATACACAATAATTATGAAGTTTATAATGAGTTTATAATTGTCCTTTTTAAAAACGATTGCGTTCAAATTTGCCAGTACAATGTTTCATTTGGTTATATTATTGATAAATAATAATGGAAAGTAGTAAATTTAGTTAATCTGTGTTATACTTACCTTTAAGGAATTCCAATGTAGAAAGCGTACAGGTTACCTGAGATCATTGAATGTTCATTTTCTGAAATGTAATTCATATTAGCCAGATATTTATTTACAATACTACCTACTTATGACAATCAGATGTTATTCAACTCATCTCTGGAAGTCTTTAGAAGTCATGTTCTTCAGATGCCTTATGTCTCATGTCTCCTCGTCATCTCACTACCTCTGTATCACTCTCTACATGACAGTTTTGTGATCCAGAAATAAAGAAACAATATCATATGATGCTAAATCTGATGAGTAGAGACTTTACGAAATAAGGTTTTCAGTGTCCGAGTTCCAGCATTTATTGGACATAATATGACACAACTTCCAATTACTACTAGTTGAATAAAGACGGGAAAACGTCTTTATATTGTTACAAAATGTTGTCCATTTAAGTACAGTGTGATTTATCTTTTGTTTAATGATGTTTACAAATAAAAATCTATTATCTCACTTCATGTATTTTTACTGAAAAAATTTAATAGTTCACTTCATAACTTTGATGTAATTAAACAGATATTAAAATATAATACGGGATGTTGACCTAATATACCTATTTAAGTGTCATATCATTTGTAAACCTACTCCTCAAGTCGTCAATCTCATTAGTTACATAGTTCACAACTCAAATGTTAACTAGAATTAAATAAAGAAAATAGGTAGATGGGGTTTAACTTTAACATCTGTAATATGAGCTATAAACAGATTTCTTGGTAGAAACATAGGTCACATATGTCATAAGCAGGAAAAAGAGAACAAGCAAAACATCTTAGCTAGTTCATTGATCTGATTACTACCGCCAACAAGATCAACGTAACTGAGTAGCTGCAAAATTCTTGAAAGAAGATTAATAATCCTAGCCGTATGAGGACACCTTAAAGTGAGTATTTTATTTTTAAAGGATTTTTTCGTACTCCAGGATGTCAAAAATAAGTAGATTATAAGTGTTTTAGTGGTTGATGTATTAGTATGTTATTGTTGCCACTATTACTGACAGAATTCTTAGATGTTTTCAAACTTCTATTTTCCATTGAAATAGTTCAACATATTCGCTTGTGAACATATTACTTTTAACATAAGCGAACACGACAAGTGTATATATTTATAGTCAGTTGACCCCCTTGAAAAACTTAGTGATTTATGATTTCTTTTTCAAAACAATTATTGCGCACTTGATCTTGTGTTGTCGTGTTGAAAAAGAACTTCTACCTAATGGATTACTAATTTACGCTAGATTAGAGATATATGGATTTAGATGTGCTGTTTTTTGTTGGTAGTCATGTTAGTTTATTGCGAAGATGTAAGTGATGTGCAAATTTTCTGATTGAGTATTATTCTGTGTAATTTCCACTGACATCGGTTCTTACAGCTTTCAAAATGAAGTCATATTACTTCTTCTGTGTATGTGTTGAGACATTATGTTTGATTATTAACTAGTTCAACTGAATGTTATTAAAAAAATTGTAAAACACAATCTTGCATTCACCTGGTGTTGTTTACTTGTATCGTCCCTGGTACATCGAACTAACGAGTCGAAAATAGCACGAAACCCTCATCCTGGATTCCACTGCTAGCCACTATCCGTCTTCACGATTTTACATATTCAGAAACTAGTTATTCTGAAGAAAAAAACCAACCACAAAAAGTTATTTCATTAAGCTTTCCATATTCCTGAATAATCTCAAGTGAAATACCATTGAAAATCAGTAATAAAACACATTCCCAGTAGAATCAAATTATGATCCTTTGATAAAATTTTAATAAATTCTACACTTCTCTTAATTATATTTCGATTGTTTACACTGATACTTCTCTACCTTTTTTAAAATATGTTTCATTATCCAGAGATTACAATTGATGATCTAACTGTAATTGAATTGTACAATGTTGGTGTTTTATTAAACATACAATTTATTCAAGATGCATGTATTAACTATTTGAAAACAAGTTTAAATGAGAATAATTGTTTAATATTCATGAGACAAAATAATAATGTAAATAATTGTGAAGCAAATCAATTAACTAATGAATGTATTAAACATGCAGCAAAACATTTTGAGTAAGTATACAAGTAAACTTAGATAATCTGAAACATTAACTATTAATATAAAATGTTATAAATGGTAAGACTATAATTTATGGATGAAACAATTCATGTATAAGATAACAAATCTTGGATTTTAACGTGGAATTCATTCATCCATTTGGATAAATAAAGTTTTGGCATTATAGCTAATGTCAGTGTGTGATGAGAAGCTTAAATACAATTTCTAATCTTAATCATCAACTGTAAATCATAATTATAATTCCTCACACAGGTTTATAACCCTCATTTAGTAGCAGATACTCTCAAGGTCAGTCTAGTGTCACTCAAAGGTGTTTCATAAATTATAGTCTCACCAAATGTTGCAAAGTATATCAATTTTGACAATAATAAACTCTTAATGTATATGTTATTAGACCAGATAATCTCGTATTTTGATAAATAAGGATTCTCGGATTGTTAGAAACAAATAGACCAAACAATAGTGAGTAAGAACAAGATAAAAAACATTAAGTCTATCGATATATCATTTGACTGACTATTACCTTATCACAATAATTAAAGAGTTTAATTTTCTGTTCGAGCAAGCTGTTGACTGAATTTGGTGAAATATCATGGGATATAAAGTATCATAGAAGCGTGAAGTAAAACAGTGCTTGGCTGTTTTATGTTAAAAAAATACAGGTATTAAGCACTTTACTATAGAGTAATCACTTCTTGAATTTTTATAAAAATGCTAACTCTGCACAGTAATAATTAACAAATAATGTGCGAACCACCGGACATTGATTCACTGATTAAAATGTCAACTTATTATATTGTGCCACGAAGAAAGTGTATTGGACCCCTAATACGGTAGTGGATGTGTGTTGACGTGGAGTCCGATTCTAAGAATCAATGGCCTACCAAATATCAGTTTTTGATGTAACCCAAAATATGTTAGATGGTAACTTCGTAGATAGGTCGAAGATATACTCCCTAAATACTATAATACTATGTATCGAAATAAAAAAAAGTCATGAGCCATGAAGTATTAAGAAACAGGATCGAACTGTTTAATTGTTTGGAGGTAAACCTTTTTCACTGACTGATGTTAGCCAATAAATGCTAAGAAATATAAAAAAACATTTGGTACATCTCTACAGTGAACATTTACAAATGCATACGTAATGCAACCGGAATACTTTTAGGTTTCCCGGTGAATATAGTAACTTTAGATCATTTAGCTTGAGATTACTGAGTTATGTGTCAACTTTGATGAATTTATGATACTTCACGACGATCATTCATTATTATTGATGACATCAATCTTAATCATGATATCAGTTAACCTTCAAGAATTAAATCAATAAATGATAAAACTTACAGTTAATTCTTGAATTATGTACGTGAATTAACAATTACTTATTACTTACTGGTTCTATGAAAACAAATAAAAACCTGAGAAAATATGTAAATTATACGTAGAGAAAAAAAAACAAAACAAATGAAAAACACTATTGATTTTTATGATATTTTATTTTGATAATTTGTGATACTGAGTTTATTTAGTCACTTAGCCATTTGCTATATGGAGGTTAATTGAAACTAAAATCAATAGCTTGTATTTAATTGAAAAGAAAGAAAATATAATTTTGACCATACTCATTATATTGTTATTTATTTTAATGTAGAATTTGCTAAGTTCAAATGAATATGTAGTCACATATTTGATTTCTATGTTTATAGCAAAAACAAGTCTGAAGTCCACAATTCGTGTATCCAGTTAGCAGATATATGTATAAAGTTGGATTATGTAAGGAAATACAGACAATCAATAAGCGTATAATAAATCCTGATACTATGTTATATAATTCAGATGATAATAAATAACACAAGATTATGAGCGAAGGAAGGAGTCTAGAACTAACTAGTTAAATATCAGAAGGGGTTTTGTCGATATTATAGTATATTATTATCATAGTTGAGATCACGAATCAATTGAAGCTAGACCACCCTGGAAGACCTGGAAGCACTGTACGGTTGTTTCGCCCTACCGTGGGACTCAGTAGAGTGAATCCACGATCAAATTATAATGTGAATAAAGTAAGATAACTGAACAGTTCGTATTATAATAATTAAGGCGTTAGAAGGATTGAAAGAAATTATACTGGATATGGCTATTAATAAAATTTAAAAGGATAAAAGCAGATGGATACACTTTTAAATATACACTTAGTAAAATGAAAATAATCATGGGGTAAGACTATATTAAAGACAAGTTCAAAATAAATTTCTTTTATACACGAATGTTCAGACTTGTTCTGATAGTTATCTAAAGTTTCTGTTACTTAAAAAAGTTAGTAGATTTGGACGAATTCTATAAATAGGCTAGTTGAGTAGTTACAGTCAAGGATGAAACTTCTAATCGCTCACTTCTCATTTATTATAAAAACCAAGCTGAAATCTATTAGCAAATTTGTGTTGAATCATAATATTCCAATACTTTCTTCAGATTAATTCATACAGTTGCATCATTTTGTTGAAAATTTTTATTTGACTAAAAATAATTAATTATGTTAGTGAGAAATAAAACTCGATTACTTTAGTCTACTTATATAACAAAACAAGTTTTTACATTTCATCGTAGACTGATTTTGCATAAAGTATTTGGCTTTTTATGAAGTGTTCTTTAAAATAACATACTTCTACGTAAAGTTATTTACCTTCATCGCATTCACTGTCTCCTTTCTTTCTCTTATTTTATCTTTGAAGCAAAATGTTAGATAATCATGAGACTATGAACATTGAACCTAAAGAACTATTAGCAATACTAGAACAAGATGACTTCAAAGTTCAAGATGAATGGAAACTTCTGGAATTTATACATATATGGATTAAAAAGGATTATGACAATCGTCACACATATAAAGAACAACTATGTGAGCATATACGTTTTCAATTGATAGACACAATGAAGTTACTTGATATATTAGAAAATCAAGAGATGAATATATTTCATTCATATGTAAAAAACGCGCTTATTGATTTAGGTCAGTTATCAAGGTCAGTAGCAATAGCCAAATGGAATCGTAAAGTAAGTTAGTAAGGTAAAATTATCAATGTGTATTTTACACTTCTTGCAATATTCAACTAGTTCTTCTTTTTAAATAAGCAATATTAAGCAAATGTTTATATTTCAGTGGAGTTGGCATTTTCGCACAGCACTTCAGTGCTATTAGATATATATAATAATCAAGATTACATAATATTCATTTAAGTAAATTGTTTGTATATAATAAACTGTTCATTGCTATCATGGAAAATTCATTAGCAACAAGTTAACTTATTTAAACAATGTCAGCAAAACACTTCAAACGTGAAAATTCTATCAAAGTTTATTCGTAAGTACCTATAAGTTAGGAACAGTGTAGTGTAATAAAAGTTGTGATCAATATACTACCAAAATTTTAAAAAGCTCTATCCATGAGAAATAAAGATACCAAGACCAATCGATGTTTAGAGGCGGGTGAGCACCGTTAAAGAGTTCTATACTAAGACGAACTAGATGTCCACTGTTTCTTGTTTTCAATTGGTTATCTAACTAAAGTCAGACTTTAGTGTTAAAAGATAAAAACTCACTAATCTTTAAGATTTTAAATATCAGTGAGGATAATTATATTTGCTAATACCACCGTTGAAAAATGTTTTTCATCTCATAAGTCTGTCCTGTAATTAAGTCAGGACTTTGAAGTTTAACGGCCAGTCTTACATCATTCATCCAGTGAAGTGTTATCCGATGGTTCAAATATATAGTAGTGATTAGTCAGGTTTGAAGTGAACCAGCTATCCACCTATCATATTCGTTGAGAAGCGCATTATATCACGAATTATCAGAAGATGACAATTGTAAACCACTCGATACTAACTAGTTAATTCCGTAAGTCTGAGTCTATGTGAGGTTATGAGTGTTCATTTTTAAATCGTCATAAACTAGGGTAAAATTATTGCTCAATATTATCATTAAGCAAACGGAATATACCCCCTTAAGACGTAAAACAGCAAAAATTGATTCAGTGATGTGTTTTCTTCCCGGAGAAGTCGTGTTCAAAAGCTGTACAATCGCAAATATATACTTCTGTTTCAAAATGATAATAATTACAGTAATAGTGATAATAAAATTCTATTAAACATGGCAACAGTGAGGTAGAATAAACAAAAGTGATATAACGTTCTTTTTACTAAAGAAACTAATCATAATTTTGTTGTTGAGTGTTTGAATATTCATCATGAAGATAAGTAAATAAATTCTAACTGGGAAGAGAAGGCTAAGCGTGACAAGATAATCTGTTAAAATTGAGATGAACTGTAATCATGAGAATCATACACACAGAAATAAACCTGTTGGGGGTAAAAAGTCTATAGAGACCTCTATAACATTTTATTGCCTTTGTTTATTCTAACTCACTGTTACCATGTTTAATAGAATTTTATTATCGCTATTACTGTACTTATTATCATTTTGAAACAGAAGTATATATTTGCGATTGTACAGCTTCTGAACACGAATTCTCCGAGGACAGAACTCTTCACAGAACCAATCTTTCTTATGTCTCAATAATATTATGTTACTAAAAGATCTTCAAATGATGTTACTTTGACATGAAAAGTAAATTAAATTAATATAACATCTATTCAAGTAAGAATCTACTTATATACATATGAATGACTAGTGATATAATTTACATCATACATATTTTTCAGTCAAATCATTCTATAGACAAAGAGTTGACGTTGACTAATTTACCGGTATGCGATTTGAATAGTGACTCGCCAAAACAAACTACAGAAAATGTAAGTCATTTTTGAGTACATTTTAACATTCTAATACTGACCAAACCACTTTGTTTTTCTTTAAGTATTCAAAGTATTTAAGGCATCTACTTCCAATTTAGTTATTCTATCTAATATTATTGTTTAACGAAGTTTTGTTTAAACATATAGATAGCTTATTATAGGGTTAATAAATGAAAGTTAATCAAATCACCTGATTCGTTGTATTTCCAATTATGTTCTTAGGAATATAACATTAGACTTTAACAATGAGTGACAGTTGTCAACAGATATATTCTCGGAGTAACTGACTATAATTCAACCAAATCGAATAATCAAACATGTTAATTCATGACTTATAAAGTATTTAATTCTAAATTCATAAGATCGTTATGACCAAGACATAAATGAATCGATCTGTCATCACAAGATGTTTCTTATGCAATTAAATAAATTGATTAAAATTCAGTTGCATTTCGATCAGAATTCGTTAGAAGATAAACGGAACTGTTAAAAATGTGTTAATTTAAATATGTACTTTGTGGACAAAAGTAATATTGGGTTCTGATCGCTATAAATTAGTACAAATGAAAGAATCCTAAAATAAGCACTTTTGAAGTGATGTAGAAAATCAATTACAGCTTCCCAATGAATAATCATAATATATTTCCGACAAAGCGGGTACACACCATTTTTACAAGTATGATGAGGTTTCCAATAAGTGTTTACAGATAGAGTGGATGCCCAACAGAGTTGTTAAGATGTAGCATTCAGAAATCAGCAATGATTTACAGGATAGTGTTCAAGGAGGTTTACTTGAAAATTATTTGTATAGTAGAACTGTTTGATAAGTTTACAGTAATGATTGAAAAGCAATTAGTATAAGTTGTGACCATGAAGAACACGTACGTAAGGTTTGTGTATCGGGCGTAAGAATCTCCATAGCTGTGCACTACAAATGAGGTACGGAAAAGAAGAGAATAAAGAGCATCAAGTCTATTGGGTACAGGACCTTAACAATTCTTAACCATTTGAAGTATGGCAAAAGTCATTCAATTCGAAGGACTCAACACCATCATCGTCATCATCATGGTGTTCATTTGAGAATTTTATCGGTAGATAATTATTAACAGTATTGTGCATTAATTGTTATTTTTTTCAATGGTTGAGATCATGAATCAATTGAAGCTAGACCACAATGGAAAACCTGGAAGCACTGGACGTCCGTTTCGTCCTATTGTTTTCCATGGTGGTCTAGCTTCAACTGACTCATGATCTCAACCATTGAGATTATTATAATATCCACAAAAAACCCTTCTGATGTTATTTTGTTTTTAAAAAGAAATATTTCTTGTTACTTCAGACATCTTTGATATGCTTTGGAGGACGATTATGTAACAAAAGTTTCTCATCAAATATAACATGTTATAAAATTTTTGAAATGAAATCATTTATTAATCAGAATGAAAATTTGTGCAAAAATTATAATATTGATGAAAATTATTCAAATAATAATTATATGGAATCATGTACATTTCCTTATTTAAAACAAATAATTTTACCAAATTTAAAAACTATGCCTTCTTTAAGAAAAGGTTTTGGGGCTATCAATTTAAATGATAAAATTTATCTTGTTGGTGGAAAACCCAAATGTTCAATGAAAACATCTAATATTTACGATATTTCATTAGGTTTATGGTCTAGTGGACCAAATTTAAATATTGGACGAAGTTGGTATTCAATTACGGAATGTGATGGTGTGATGTTTGCTATAGGAGGTGTCGGAGAAGACGGTAAGCGTTTTTTTAATAATTTAAGTGAATAAGGATGTATGTAGGTGTTAAAATTAACTATGTAGGTTTCTAAATATTACCTAACGATTTGAGTTTCAGACAGATATTATTAATAGAGGTGGGCGATGTTCGAACAATATCTTGAATTCAATTAAGTTTGAAGTATAAAGCTCGAGGTATAGACGTCATAGTATAGGAGTAACATGATCTCTACAGGGCCTGAAAGTCATAGATTTGATTCCTTATGGGGTTTTGTGTGCAAAATGGTGAGAAGTTTTAATTTAAGAAGGAACCACTCTCCACTGTCTCATAATTCTATATGATTGTCTAGCTAAGATCAATCTATAGTATTAACTACAGGTGTTGTTCAGTTAGGTCACAAAACATTTCTCTACTACCGTTTTAAATCGACCAGTTGAGTACAATCCTGACTAGAAATTCAAAACGCTCATTGCCAGCATTTTGATTCATTTGTTTCTTTTTATCTCTACAGATCAAAATTTATCATCCGTTGAGATGTTGGACCCACGAGTAAATAAGTGGGAATCATGTTCGTCAATGTTGAGACCACGATTTGGTTGTAGCGTTTGCTCTACCAATAATGAAATTATAGTTGTTGGTGGGGTCAGCGATTCAACTATCGAGATGTATGATATTATGTCAGGAAAATGGCAGTTTTTAGCGAAAATGACTGAAGTGTAAGTATTCACGATCATTTTGTTAGCACAAATCTTATTATACCAAAGTAAGATGAACAAAGTTTTTTCAAATTGTTTCATTGTGGAGTTATTACAGTAGATCTCTGAAGTAGTAGCTTACTTTATTTTTCTAATCATCATATTGCTTTTCGGGTTGTCTTTAGTAGTAAGTTAAAGCTGGAGGACGCTTTAGGTTTATAACGATACCAGCCGCCAAACTACTAAACTTTTGAGAGCAGAAAACTCCACAGGATCACATGCATCTGGAACAGAATTTTATAATTTATTCCCAGCTCTGTAAAGTGGAACCTGATACACAATTTTTTAGCCTAGTTAATTAGTCGTGTAAGGCTAGTTATGGTGTTGGAGACAGTTGTTTCACTCCCGACTTGGTTGAACCCCATCAGTCAAGCTTTCTCTCTAGAAAGTCTAAAGCTCCAGTGTGTCTAGAGCTAGGAAATCACCTAACATAGTTCATTATCATATTTAAGGGTAAGCATTTTCTCACTGTTGATTTTCAGGAATACATCTTATCGATATCTGATAACACGTGGACATGGTGTGTGAATACAGCGATGTTGCCTATAGCCGTAAATTGATTTCAATCTGCAAAGTTATTTGTAATGAAATATATTAACACAGTAATGCTAACAATCTTTCCCGAGTTTTATAATACAACCTAAAAGACATAACCCCAAACATGATTGCTTCAACAGTGCAATATATTTTGATTATGGTGGTGCAGAATAAATTCCCATTAACTATTTTGTATATGTTCATTTGATGAAGAATGAGAATCATTACAAATCATCGTTTTTCACCATAAATTAATCATTTACTGTAGTTTAATGTCATCTTTTACCGTTTTAAATGTGAGAAAGTTATTATTCTTTTAAGTTGAAATCCATAATAATTCGATAATATCCGTAAAGAACGTACTGTATGTTCACTCAAAGATACACTCTGTTTGGATATGAACCTTAGAAAACCATATTTTTAAAACAGAAACTTTATCAAAACATAATTCACTTGGAAATAAGTATATGATTTATTGTATTGCATTTAGATATTTACTTCAAAATACTGTCCAGATGATAAAATTTTGTTCTTTTTAAATACAGTCAATCTGTTAGTCATCTGGATAATTAATGGTTTGCACAAAAGTTGTCCACCGATGAAATGGGTGCTTACAAATTCAAGTAGTTGGATGATAAAATCATCATCAATAGATATGAAGTTTGTCAGGTCATTTGATAAGTGTCAAAGTATTCTCTCTTAATTCGCTGAATAACATATGAGATGTTACATTTATTAATCAAAAAATGGGTAGGTAGTCAGAAATATACGTATTAAATGACTGGGTTGTAAAGATTCCTATGTATTCTCACATTTCCTCTACCTTGGTCTCCGTAAACTGAAAAAGTACGAATAAGGTATTATCTGTATTATTTTTCTGTTTGGGGTTGTGGAGATCATTGAATTTAATTCAAATGTTAGACAACCATTGAAAATATGGAAGCAGTGAACGACCATTTCGTCCTCGTATGGGACTCCACAGCACTGCGCATCCACGATTCCGTACTCGAGACTCAAACCCAAGACCTCCGGTTTCACGTCTTCGCTTAACCTCAAGGCATAAACACTATTCGATACCGACCAGGTAATCAGCGAGACCAAAGGTCTTGGGTCTGAATCTCGAGTACAAAACCATGGATGAGCACTGCTGGTGAATCCCACACTAGGAAAAACGGCCATCCAGTGCCTCCAGGTTTTTAGTGGTGGTCTAACATTGGTCGATTCATGATTTCGATGAAATATTATTTTTGACCAACCTTACTACTTTTAGACTTTTGTAAGTAACCAAAGTCTAATCTTATACTGTTTTCGAATTGCATCAGACAAAAAGCATAAATTCTAAAAATATAGACTTATAGTTTACAACTATTCTCTGAATTGATAGTCTTATATGACAAGAAGTACGTTTTCCTCATCAAATTTTACGAAAATGAACCTCGTCTGTAGTTTTGTATGAACTGCAAAACAATTGAAAAATAACTAAAGAGAACTGATAAGTTAGTTCCTTTTAGATTATTTAAAACTCTCAGCTGTATTGACCTGTAACCTATGCATTTGGTAAACCTAAGGCTCACAGGAATGGTAGAGTATTTATCAATCTTTTATATCAAACGTTAATTAATTATTCATATTAAATGAAAGTCATATTTTTCTCAGTCTATTTTAATTTTGATAGACAGTTTGGTTAAAACCTATTGTATTAAGATAAATGTGTGTTTGGTAATTCAAGTGTGTGGAAGAATATAAGATAAAAAACTGGAATTATTACAACCAAGGGTTACGTGTAAAATTAAAGTCAAATTAGATCAAAAGTCATTATTTCTTGTAAGCATTATTTAAACATGAATAATTAAGGAAATGTTTTATATTGTTTCAATGCTTAAGTTTAGCAAGCATATATATGCAACAATTAGAAATCTTAAACAGAGTTGGATAATGGGGTCTAGGATGCTTGTTTTGCTCTATTTGAAACTCGTCAACCAAATATCTTTGAGCCCGTGTTGATGTTTACACAAGGACCCGTATCCAGTTACTCTCACTTTAAACTCCAAATACTGAATTTCACCAGCTATTGGCTCGTGCAACAGCGATAAATTTTAAGTCAGTTATCAAGGGTGCTTTAATCTTCCCGTCATTGATGTTAAGAACTGTAAATGATCAGTCTCTCTTGGCATAAGTACATCCTAAGAGAATTGTCTCAACACTGTCATTAAGTCTTAAATGTTTTTAGCAGAGTTAGCAATTGTTGAAACGAAAACAATAAAGAGATATAATGATTATGTTTCTAGGTAAAATTGAAACAACGTTACCATCGTGATATAATTCTAATGAACAATCGCTAATATGAATAAAAAGTGACAAACTTGTGCTTTGTAATAAATTATTTGTTTACCGCCTGCTTGAAATCATAATTATAGTGATAATATATGTTTTCATGAAAATTTTGTAATCTATGTGTCATTTTCTTTGAGATTCATTTACTTATACCATACTATACTAAATAGGCACTAAAACATAGTTCAATGTTAATGGGAGGTAATTGTTTAAAATATTAATATTTTTGATTGGGCTTCATTTCATATTGATTATTGATTAATAGGTGATTCACTAAAATAAGTGATTGGTGCTGAAGTGACAAATGTAATACCAAATATCATATGGAAATTACTTCAGGTCTTGATGAATGTCGGAGTGGTTATAGGATCGTAATAGTTTTCTAGGACAACCATAAATTTAATAGTATATTTATCGGTCAGTTTATAGGCTGTATCATAAGTATTACGGGTTATAGATAATACATGTTGCTTACATGATTAATGAAGTTCTAGTTAAACAGTAGTTGTTTATAAGGATTTCACGGAATATCTGATCGTAACATGTAACACAATTAAGGTTTAATTTATTATCTTGCGATCAATTCATGATTACATATGAATTATCTTTTATTGTAACGTCACACATATCTACACGTGACTTGCAGACTGAAATTAAACAAACTATAAAATTAGATCAATCATTGAGCTCAGAATGAAGTATTGTCCACAAGTAAGATAAACAATATAAATTGATTTGTGACTGTTTCATTAATAATGTTTATATACTGATGTGAAATTATTTCATTATATTGATATTTGTCGGAATTTATACAGCATTTTAGTTGCTTCCCGAGTCCATGTAGCTGTATATGTTTAAATTCGAGAAGTTTTCACAACAAACGCCATGGCATTTGAACTGAATAGTACTGGGTTCCAGTCTCAGAATGGACATCAACATCCGGCTGACGAGTCCCGAATATGGCGAAACGCACATCCTAGATTTCACTGCTAGCCACCATACATATTTGTTTACAATGCTTGAGATACATTTTTTTGTCTTTATTTCTCATCCTTATGTGGCGAAAATAACTCTTGTATCTAACAAATACTGTATATAATTCATTCAAGTTAAGGTATGCAGAGATTAACGAATTTTATAGTTTACAACATCATCATCATCATCAATACTTACTATTATTATTGTTTCTATGCGTTTTAGACGTGAAGCCTCGAGTGTTTTTATTCATAATGATTGTGTATACGTATGCGGTGGAGCTAATGAAACTGGTTGTGTAAATACCACAGATATATTTTCGTTGAAAACTACAATTTGGAGTAAAGGCAAACCAATGATTTTACATCGGGCATTTGCTGGTAATATATTTTTACTGTCAATTAATATTAATCTAATATCTCATTGAATAAAATACAATTTGTTCTTTAAGAACGCATAAGTTTTACACTGCAAAATAATGCTCAACAGTTGCTAACTCTAGGAGTACTAGGTTTTTAGGTCGTTGTACTGAAATCAAAAATCTTTTATGGCATATTATTATTTGTATTTATTGTCTAGAAAAACATTCGTAATTATGCCTTATTCAGGTTGAAAGTCGTCAGATGACACCGAATGAATTAAACTTGATTTATTTTAATTATTTACATTTACTTTTAATCAAATTATCAAATCAACTGTTTCTTATGTAATAACGATCGGTCGACAAACAAGCCTGATATAAATTGTTTTATCATATAAACTGAATTAGAAATAGTTTTTAATGAGAAAAATCCTAAAATGAAGAATTTTATAAAATGTACTGATTAACTGTGGGTGACCTGGATATTCTAAACATTAATGTCTAATCTTTCATATGTATTAATATAGTTTGGAGCTTCATAGTGATCATTTCACACTGAAGATAACAGATTGATCTGAGTTGAAAAACCATTAGGAATCGAGATGAATTGAGAGGGACGTTTCATCCTAACTTGCTACTGATCATCAGCACGTGCCTATGACCTTGAACGATTTTGTATTTAGTTTATCTCAAGAACAGGGAATATTAACAACAAGTAGATTAAAAAGAACTTACTTTTCTAGTTTTGTAGAGAGATGCTTTGAAGAAAAACCTCAAATTAGATTTATCCCTGTTTAGTTTGACAAATTAATCAGAAACGACAGATTATAACAGTTAAGTTTGTATCAACAATTAGTATTCTGTCTACAAGGTTTCCTAATTTTTTAAATGTCAAATTAAGTAGTGGAGAAGATTTGTAGTTCAGGTGGAGTTTTGTTCTCTGAGCTAGATGATCTGGTCGTGGAGCTTCAGGTAAAAGCCTGATGTTTGTGCTGATAATGTCGTTCAGAAAAACAATGAGAGTTCCACGGCCAAACCATACACTTCAGAGAACAAAACTTCATCAATAAAATTAAATCTTAAAACTTAAGGATTTATATTTAATGTTTTCTTTTCCGTTGAATAATTAGCTACACGTATATGGAATGATTATATCTTTTTAATTGGTGGTCGTAACAATATGGAACCATCAAATTTAATTCAAACTTACAATTTAAAAACAAATGAATGGGCGGTTTTACCACAAACATTACCATATCTTGTTTCAAATTGTTGTGCTATAACCACCAGTTTATTATAAACCATAAATTTTTTGAATGTTTAAAGTTCAGAAAATGAACTGAAACTTTATTATTAATGTGTAATTTTGTATTTAAAAAAAGACAAAAATTTAACTCTGTATTCATATCTAGTTGTAATATAATTTTCAATAATTAATATGGTTACACATTACCCATACTGAAAGGGGGGGTGAGCGTTTCATCAGTATCATGTAGTAATGTGTATCGATTTCCACTATGTCATATGATTGGCTGACTGACAAATATGCAATGAAGAAGAAATAATTTCATGCCAAATTAATGGTGTGTCATAGATAGCTGAAGGATCTAATGGTTGAACGTTTAATTTATTAGAAATGTTTGGAGTCGCTACAAATCACTATCTATTAGACTGTCTTAGAATGACTGATGTCTACTGTCGACTGATATCAGTGATTAAAATAATATATTTCATTTATGTGTGTATATGATAAAGCTTGTAATGGCTGGTACTATGTCAAGCACACATAGGTTATTTTAGCTTCTGGCCAGACCAATTTATTCATTCTTCTCAAGCCATATTTTGACATCGTCAATAATTCACTTATTAGCCTTGAATTTTTATATGATCGTATGTCTTTAATTGCTCAGCCTATTCATTATGTGTTTGCAACTTATTTTGTTTGAATATAAATATTGAGTCACGCTTTATCAAAACGAGTTGGTTCATTCGCATTCTCCAACGCGCGTAATTTCGTTCAGTTTCTCTGATTGTCTTTCTGGATTGATTAGTGTATGACATATGCACGTATTGGAAGTCCATTCTCGTATTTGAATTATTTAATCCCATTATTAACCAACGTGATTTAAGTGGATGATTATATACAACGGTAGCCAGGATGTATCTTTTAATAGTAATCATTTGATATAACTGGGGTCAGATATTGGGCCATTAAATGCCATATTAAAAGATTGTTTTTATTTATTATTACAGTTGTAACGAATGTAAATAATCTACTATGTAATGATTTGACCACCTTAAATTAGGCAATTTTGTCTCCATAGGTAACCTGCTCTTATAAGAACTTTGGTGAGTCTATTTTGAAGCCATTTATGTGTACCTTGGAGTTGTTAAATTTTTACACAAGCTCTACATAGATAAAAGATGTTTTAAAACTGCTTTTCTTTACATGTTTGTACTTTCCGAACAGCTCCGGTTTTATTTTCACTCAAGTCATTCTTATTTTGACCAAGATTTCGACAATTTGATGAATGTGTAGGCTGTTCGACAGGAATCATTATATATTTTCATTATTGTTGAATATTAAACAAAAGTCATACCCAAAAAATATTGAGAGCACTCATTCCATATACTGTAAGTTTAAATAAACTACTCGTCATAAAGCTTATGAAAATTAGAAATGACTGGAACTTAAATTCCATTTGACGACTTGCTTCAATTATTTGAATGAGGAAGTGTTACAAAGTATCATGGTGAAGTTTACAATGTTCGCTAAACTGCATTCATTGTTTAGGTTCTCGAAATTAATCCGACAGAAAATCATCTCCAAACTTTATTTGAACCATCAAGGCTATACATAGCTATTGAAAGACTCAACAGAGGGAGTTTCTTTCTAACATTTTTTTACTTTCACGATCTAATCATACATGAACATACTGCCTGAAACGTCTAATCTATTCACCATTTAGTGTTTTCGTCATTAGTGTATTCAATAAAAGCTATACATTAATATGCAGCCAGTTAGTTTGCTTAGCTGAAAATTATGTCCTTTATTAGGAAATGTCATTTTCTGACAATCTACGTTTATAATACATGGACTAAAATTAGACTAAAAGAGTCTGAAGGTGACTACATTTTAGAATTCCTATCACTTAATTGCTCACAAATACTATCTATTTCGCTCCATATATTACCTATGCTAATGGATCTTTATGTGGAGCTCGTTAGTAAACTAGATACTGAGTCATCCAGCGGCATATGTGGTGTAAGTACGATCCTAACATAGTCTGTTGCAAAGGTAGTTGAACTGGCATGGCATAAAGTTTATAACAGAGTTGTTTTTACTCGAAGTATCAAGACTCTTCCGGGCTCGTTTTTTCTATAGGCCATCCATCTTAATATTAATGGTAATCCTAATGTCTATGTATATGCCATATACCAGGACTAAAAAATAACCATATACTTTTATATCAGAAGCCGTATTTATTGTAACGCAAAGATCAAACGTACCGCTTATTAATCAATATCTTATCATCCATTCATTATCATTGGAAAACACATATTAACTATTTTAAAGCTTTTTTTCTATATTCAGATAGGTAACGATAAATATTGTTTAACTAATCTCGCCCAAAGGCGTAATATTTTTAGACAAATAAATTTTTTCTTGATTTACCTAAACACTTCCTTTTATATAATAATATCATTAAGTAATGTATCCATTTAATATAAGCGAATTATGCCAATAATTTTGTCCATTATTATAGATATAAATCATAAATAATATTAACATTATTTAAGATTGAATTTATAATCAGTCATGAATGGGAACTACAGAAGTGGTTGTAATTATGTACAGACAATAATAAACATTAGACTATGTCGAGACTATAATTTATGGACGAGCCAATCAGGTAAGAGATACCGGGTCTGGGATTTGGGTGCGATTTTCATTCCTCCATTTGAATACATTGAGTTTTGGCATTATAGCTGATGTTAGTTCGTGATGAAGACCCTAAATATAATTTCTAGCATTAACCATCAACTGTAAATCATAATTCCAATTCCTCACACTGGTTTATAACCGCCATTTGGTGGACACTCTCAAGGTCACTTCAGCGCCGCTTAAAGGTCATCCATAAATTATAGTCTCACCTAAACTATAGTGGATTTGCGTGAAGTACAATTTTTCATTTAGTCAAAATAATTATTGATAAATTAATACAAACTAAAGAAACTAATCTGAAATGAAAAATTACTTATTCTAGAGAAGTTTTGTTTTTCCATGTTTTTAAAAAAAGAGGTTTATTTTTTCCCCTTAAAGTACATTATCGGATAAATCATTAACAATACAAAAGAAATAGGCGGTATATTAAACTGAATTATTTTTATGGACTATTGTGTATATTTACATATAAGTTTATTAATATTTAGTAGTACTTATTTGTTTACATGGTTCAAAAAATACTTGTCACTTGACTTTTTCTCTTTTCATTATCAGAAAAAAAAGATTTATGTCTTGTTATGTAATATGATATGAAAGCATTTGATGCGCAAAATTCTAGGGCAATAAGATTTGGTTACTTATTCTCTGAGGAAGTGACTTGCACTAAATCACGAAACGTCAGAAAATTTAATTTTTCTACTCATTGGGGTATTACAAATATATTACTTATTTATTTATAACAACCTATCCAATGCTCAATTTATTCGAAATTATCAAATCAAACCTTGGTAATGATACATGATTAATGATAAGTTGAGTAGTAACAGTTATTGAATAGGTATCTGCTTGATCCAAGTTAGGAATGTATACCGTTTTATGGTAACTTGATGATCACAAAGTTAGGCACTCATCATGAGGCCTAAGTGTCCTAGGTAGAATTTTTGTTGTGCCCTGCTGAATCCTGTACTAAAAAGAAACAACTATCCAGTGTTTCGTAGTTTTCAATGATACATATATTTGATATCAGTATGAACATTTGCAATTTATTCATTAAATGCATAACATTAATCATTTTAATATCTATTTTGTGTTCATTACAATCTAATATAAGCTCAAGAATGAAATACAAAAGTTTACTGAATGGCTATTTTGTTATCTTCCTTTCATTTATTTAGAAATGTGTAAACCATCCAGTACAGAACCTTGTGGTCTTTTCCATTTCAACCCATAACCAGTTATTTTTCTAGTCTGTAAGAATAAATTTTTTGGAGTAGATTATCAGAATTGTTGGATATGATAATGGAAAGAATTGTATTTGAGTTCTAGAGATGAATAAACTACAAAGCAAATCTTATTTTAAAGCCAATATAAAGAAAGGTAAAAATATCTAGCAACTCATGACTCAGATCATTCAACAATTAACAAACATATTAAAACAAAACCAATAATATTTAGCATTAAGAAAATGATAAAAAGTTTGTAGTAAGTTCAGGAATCAATAAACAATCAAAACGAATGAATAGATATTGATAACCAAGGTGTTGTTAAAAGAGATTATTGTCGACAAAATGATCTGTTTGTTACTTATAAATAAACGGATTAGACATTTTTTAACTTTTGTACGGATACTATTTAGAAAAACAGTGAGATTTTTAGTGGTAGACTGTTATGCACAGGAAACCTGATCTCATTAAAAATGAATAACACTTCGTAACAATGTCAGTTATTTCAAAGTAATTATAAAGACTAACTTATGTTTGAGTTTAAGTCTATATTATTCCGAATGGAAACGAAAGACTTGAAAATAAGACCATATGGCTCAAAGAATATCACAATATTGTCAATGCGAAATAATGTGTTAGGGTGCTTTAGTTGAAATACGGTGAAAAACTAACTCGATCAATCCATAATATTGCGACAATGGAAGACGGTCGCGTAATGTCATGGATTGGTTAAAGTTAGACATTGACATCGTTGAATGCCGACTCAGTGGTCGAGAGGTTAAGCGTTCGCGTGAGGTTGAGGTCCTTGGTTGGAGCCTCATGTGTGGGATCGTGGATGCGCACTGTTGAGGAGTCGCATACTAGGACGAAACGACCATCTAGCGCTTGCAGGTTTTCACAGATAGTCTAATATTGATCAGTTCACGATCTCAATAAATAAATAGTGATTGATCAACCTAACAATTTATTTGAATTTTATCTCTAAAGATAGTAACTGATCAAAGACTTGGGGTATTTAAAATAAAACCCAATGATGAGACAACATAATAAGTTCATTATATCAGCTCATTACATAAGAATAAATATTGAGTAATTATGAGATTAAGGAGTTCAGTATAAATGTGAAGTGAT